CAATGCAACAATGCGTAAGGTGCATATGTGACATGAAAGAGATAGACATATAAAAACAAATCAATGATATTTCACTTTAATTTCTTTCTTTCCATAGTTTTATACTCCGTATAATTTTGGCAACTTTTTCTCAACAATGTCGACCACAATATCTACATCTAGACGCATTTATTGACATTGTGGAGAAAAACTTATCTAAAACATATAAGACCGTTCAATTAGTAAGGAGATATGTATTTTAATTACTACTCCGAAATATTTATGTGTCTAAACTTTAATATTACATGTGTACCATGCACGTTTTGACATAAAAGATGCTCTAAAGAGTCGGATTGTACTCTCATGAGACTCTTTTCTTACTGGAATCGCCCTATATATTACTACTTTGTCCGTCTAACATCCGTACAAGAAGAGGTGGTGCAAATGTGCGATTATCAAGAAAAGTGATTTATGTGGTTAACATTGAATTTATAAAGTTAGAATAAACTAAGAATCATTTAGAGCCACACAACGTTTCGAAATTTGGTATTGGACAATCTTAGTGAGGTGGATCTAAATTTAAAATATGAGACGATCTTAACAGGACAAAGAGAGTACATACTACCTCTATTCTTAAATAAATGGAATATGTAAAAGTAATTACAGTATCACATGGCCTACTTTGATTGCATTTTATTTATTATAATATTAATGCATTAGAAATTTGATTTTTTGAAAATATTGTTAAATTTCTCTCATTTTAAATTTCCTAATTTTGAACTTCTTAATAAGAGTTTTTTCCCGGAATAATGTTAAATAAATAAATAATTCCCAAAATGCTGCTGGATTAAAAATAATTCCCAAAAATACTGCTGGATGAACCGTGGTTAAGTAGAACCGCCACTTGAAGTGGCGACTTGTAACCCGTACAACAAGAGTTGTCACTTGAAGTGACGACTTTCCTAAACATCACAAAACTATCGCACGCAAGGAACATTGAGTGCCAAAGACAAGAATGAAAGGTTATGGGTCCCACCCAAATTTAAAATATCATGTTTTCTTTGAAGTGTTATAACTTTTTTATTTGTAATCTGATTGTTACAAAAAATATACCAAAATTCATAACTTTTTATTATCTTTCATATGACACCAATATTAAATATATAAAATCAAAAAATAATTTAATACTTTAAAAATTAATGCGTATTGTTTTTAAAGTGCTATATATTTTTTATTTGTATTCCGATCGTTACAAAAATTATATCAAAATTTTAAAAAATCATGTAATCATGTTTTGATATAAAAAACAGATATGCATTAATTTCTAAAGTGTTAAATTATTTTTTGATTTTATATATTTAATATTGGTGTCATATGAAAGATAATAAAAAGTTATGAATTTTGGTATATTTTTTGTAACAATCAGATTACAAATAAAAAAGTTATAGCACTTCAAAGAAAACATGATATTTTAAATTTGGGTGGGACCCATAACCTTTCATTCTTGTCTTTGGCATTCAATGTTCGTTGCTTGCGATAGTTTTGTGATGTATAGGAAAGCCGCCATTTCAAGTGGCGACTCTTGTTCTACAGGTTAAAAGCCGCCACTTCAAACGGCAGCTCTCCTTAACCATGGTTAATCCAGCAGTATTTTGGGAATTATTTTTAGGATTATTTGAAAATAATAATCTCAACTATTGCTGGTCCGCTGAAAATAATCCCAACTATATATTGATTATTTTTGTATAATCCCAACTATATAGGCTATCCGCCAATAATGGTCCATGACCATATATTACCTCTATAAAAAGTGAATTTTAAATAGAAATTAAGCGTAAAAATTAAAAGTTGAGATTATTTATAAGGATTACTTGTTATATCTCATCTCATCTACTTTAGAAACTACAAGAATTTATTCATAGGGACCATTATTGGCGGAAGGTCCCTAAAGTTGGGATTATTCTGTAATAATCAATAGTTGGGATTATTATGAGCGGACCGCCAATAGTTGAGATTATTACTATCAATTTTTCCTTATTTTTAACCCGGTAGCATTTAGGGAATTATTTATTTGTTTAGCATTATTCCGGGAAAAAACTCTCTTAATAATTTACTAATAAGAATGCAATATACTTCATATCATAATATCAATGGTCAAAATTATGCTTTGACAAAGGTTGAAATAAAAAATGTTACAAGTAAAAAAGAATGAAATATATACTTTTGTATAAGCAAATAGTAGGAGTAACTCTCTTCTTCCATGTTTGTAATCTGTTCATCACCAATATCAAAGAAACTTTTTTTGCCTTCCTACTTTACTAATTTCTTGCTAAGAATTCACACGACCATAACCTAATTAACCGTAGAAGGGACGGGGCTTCCTTCACCAATGACATTTCAGCCTTTCAAGGTGTTTTTAGTACTCATTTCACTGAGTCACCGAGATATGGTCATATGGAATGGTGTGAACAAAGGGCTTATACTAGAGAACAGATCGTAAAGAAGGTTGGTTGACTTGGTTCATTGCAATTAAATTTTCCAATAATATACTTCATATAATAAATGAATATTTTAATAACAATAATAAGAAGAATAATGATAGAAAAACATGTTAACCCTAAATATAAACAAACGGCTGCTTGCCATACCATTAAGTTGTCAACTATTCGGCTGCTATTAAAAACCTCAGTCCAACACAAGCAGGTAAAAAATTGAGAGCATTTATATAGTACAAAAAATTATGTTTATACCGAAACACCCTAAATGCATAACAAACTTTACTTTTTTGTTGCAGATAAATTAAAGTGAACCAGTTTAACCTAGAGGAGTCATGACCACAGCATGAACAATTTACAATATGGGAACCACAATTCAGGTCAAGGCCAAGCCTGTGCTGAACAACGGTTCAATCTATGTCAAGCGGAGAGCCATATTTCATGTTTTGGCCCTCTTGATCTGAATAAGTTTGTCATAGACACACCATAAGTTTGGTGGTGCTATGACTTTGATTGGTTATGAATTGGTGTTAATGACTTTAAAAGTTGATTTGGTTGTATTAGTTTATTTTTAAAAGTTCAATTTGGTATATAATATATAGAGAAAAGGGGCAAATAAACTCATGTACTAACAAAAAAAGGTCAAATAATCCCTCATATAGGAGTCTCTGTTCGGTCGTCGCCATTTGGGGCGGTTCCCGGAGGAATTTTTTATGAAAGTTTTTGAACATCTTATTCATTAAGTCTAGTTTACGCATACCGAATTTCAGCTAAAACTTCAATCTGGAAGGCATTCAAATGAATTCTTAAAGATAACTGCGCAGTTATCTTCAATAATTCATTTGAATGCCTTCCCGATTGAATTGTTAGCTGAAATTTGGTATGAGTAAACTAGACTTAATGGATAAGATGGTCAAAAAATTTCATCAAAATATTCTACCGGGAACCTCCTCAGATGACGACGGCCGGACATAGCCTCCAATATAAGGGCCTATTTGACCTTTTTTTTGTTAGTACGTGGGCTTATTTGCTCCTTTTCCCTAAAATATATTATTGAAACATTTGAAAGTGTTTAGAGATTGATGATACAAGCATGTCAAAAATATAAATGATATGAGCATGCATGTGCTATAAAATAGTGAAGACACTAAAGTATCATAGGGAGTACTATTGTGTGATGTGTTGTTGACACAAATCTATATACCGATGAATCATGATTTTTTATTACGTTATAGCATCACAAATATTGTTGTTACTTGCACGTCAAAATATATGGTGATACCTACAAAAATGTCATCACTTTGACATTTCGTCTGCGACACTAAATTTAGTGTCGGCATTTCCAAATGGCTGCGACAAATATTGTGTCATGGAAATTTTTGTGACAATAAAAAAGTATGACTATTAAGCTTTTTCCTATTAGTTGTGGGTCCTATTGGTTTGTTTTCTTATTGGGGGTGTTTGTATTCTAGTGGGTTGGAGGCAAAACGCTGCAAATAATTACATTTCTTGTTGAAAAAGAATAGTGTTTTGGAGCAAACAGCTATTATCCAAACAACCCCATTATGTTGAGCACCCTTAATATTTGCCCCCCCCCCCCACCCTTATTTTTAAAAGTTCAATTTGGTATAATATATATTATTGAAACATTGGAAATGTTTAGAGATTAATGATACAAGCATGTCAAAAATATAAATGATACTCCCTCCGTCCCTATTTGTTTTGCAAAGTCAACATTTTCGGTCAACCAATAGTAAAAGTCAATCCTCCCTATTGATAATTAATTCAATTTTTAATAATTAAAATTTACATATTCATAAACTACATTAAAATCTCTTTGGGACCAAGAAAAGTCAAATTTGCAAATCATTTTGGGACGGAGGTAGTATGAGCATGCATGTGTTATAAAATAATGAAGACACTAAAGTATCATAGGGAGTAGTATTGTGTGATGTGTTGTCGACATTAATCTATATACTGATAAATCATGATTTTTTAATATGTTATAGCATCACAAATATTGTTGTTACTTGCACATCAAAATATATGGTGATACAAAAATGTCATCACTCTCTGACATTTCGTCTACGACACTAAATTTAGTGTTGGCATTTCCAAATGGCTGCGACAAATGTTGTATCAAGGAAATTTTTTGTGACATAAAAAAGTATGACTATTAAGCTTTTTCCTAGTAGTGGTGGGTTCTATTGGTTTGTTTTCTTATTGGGGGTGTTTGTATTCTAGTGGGTTGGAGGCAAAACGCTGCAAATTACAACATTTCTTGTTGAAAAAGAATAGCGTTTTGAAGCAAACAAATGTTATCCAAACAACCCCATTATGTGTGCAGCACCCTTAATATTTGCCCCCCCCCCCCCCCCCCAACCCATGGGAGTAGGAGGCCCCTGTTTTATTCTTACTATCTATAGCAAATTGGGCCAAAACCATACGTGGGCTACCAAAGCATTCTAATTTGGCTCAAAAGGGTTATATGTTTTCTTTTTCATTGTATAGGGGTCTTATATTTTATAAGATGGCCCAAATATATATGAGGTAGTTCATCCCAATATTCTGGGCCCAGTAAGCAATTTAATTAATAATTTATTATTTAAATCTTTAATCGACTTACAATTGATCAACAATAGAAATTTCAAACACATTAATTAAACCAAGAATAGAAAATTCGAGTACATCCGGGGGCGGTGTCAAAAGTTCACCCACTGAACAGGATTTTCAACCCTACCCAAATAGAAATGCGTACTGCTTCCTCATCAAAGCTTCAGTTTCCCAAGTCTCTTTTTCGACCCGATCAGTCTTCCAAAGGATTTTAACCATTGGAACTTCTTTACTTCTCAAATTCTTTACTTGTCTATCTAGTATCTTCACCGGTTGCACCGCATAATTCACATTCTCACATATCTCCACATGTGGTTTATCTAATACGTGAGATGGATCATACACATTATTTCTTTGATGTTCAGTCGATGTCAAACGGAGAGCCCTATTTCCTGTTTTGGTCCTCTTGATCTGAATAAGTTTGTCATAGACACACCATGGGAAACTGATGAAGTGGGCTCGGTTCATATCCTCATTGTAGTTACCCCAATATGTATGGTGATAAGTGACATGGTACCAAGCTGATGCCTTGGCCAACAAGTCCTCGGCCGACTCACTTCCTTTCTTGAACCATGACCTTGCCTCCTTCTTCAAGGCCCTCACAGCCACACTAACCGCATCTGCATCCCTTCTGCGATCAAACAATTTTGAAGTCTTTATGACGGCACCGCTCAGCACTTCTGCCTCAGTTTTTATTCCATAATAGTCCATTAGATTGCCCAGCTTCAAGTCATAACGAGTTTTACAATTAAAAGCTTCTTCAATGAAGTCTTCGAACCCGTCCACTTCCAAGTCAGGATCATATGATTTTCTCGCAACTTCTATTGTAAAGGATGTAATAGAGCTGAGCAGTGGAGTGATATCTTTGACCTCCCTAAATAGCTTTCCTATCACTCTTGACGAAACATAAGTTGTCTTTTCAGCGGGCTTTTCCATGAAGTCGGGATATTCTTTGACACGCAGATGGTAAGGTATCTCAGCAGGAACACCTGTCTTGGGAAAGTTGTAGAGTTACTGGACCGGCTCAGACCTCAATCACCATAGCCCCAAGGGCTAGCTCACCATTCACCACCAAGGAGTCAACAAGGGAAACCGAAAGGGCAACAGTCTCAAACACTCAGTTTTGGAGCCCAAAACCCCCCAGACCAGACCCCAGAGAACCCACCGGAGAAGAACCCCCAAATACCAGCTCAGAGTGAAGCCCACAGAAGGGAACCCCAAGGGTCTCACCGGAGGATAGCCGGAGCTAAGCCTACAGTTCAACCGGCACTCTCTCACTCTAGAACTAGGGTAACAGTCTAGGCTTCTCATCGCTAAGAGAGAGGGAAGGGTCGCACAAATAGGAAATTCCAGAAGGAACGGGACAATATAAGAGAAGGGCCACAATGAGTCATGGGCTGGATAAAGACAAGGGGAGACGAATGGGCTTGGTCGGGTAGGCAAAGGAGTTGGGCCAGACTCATTAATTAGGAGACCAACATATTAATGAGGCGAGCCAAGTACAACAGAGGTGGACCAATACCAACTCACAATCTCCACCTTATTGGTCCCCATGGTGGTGTAGAGCAAAATGTGAATGGGAGTATCATCATTGCCGGTTTTTCTTGTTTTAATCTGTTCTTATCAGCCACAATCTAAATTAAGAATACGTTTACAAGAAAACAGTTTTTCAAAAGTGAGACATTTAGTCCCCATATCAGCAGGGTTGAATTCAGAAGCTATTTTGCATAGCTTAATCCCTCCTTTATCGACAATGTCCCTGATGAAGTGGAACCTAACATCAATGTGCTTGGTCCTGTCATGAAATACTGGGTTTTTGCACAGTTGTATAGCAGACTGGCTATCAGAGTACACAGTTACAACCTGTCTAAGAAAACCAATTTCAGATAGAATACGTTTCAGCCAGATAGCCTCTTTAAAGGCCTCAGTTGCTGCAACGTATTCAGATTCAGTAGTAGAAAGTGCAACAATAGGCTGAAGTTGAGATTTCCAACTTATGCATGAACCACACAAAGTAAAAATATAAGAAGTAGTAGACTTCCTATTATCCCTATCATTTGCATAATTGGAATCAACATAACCAGTAAGGCATATTTCAGAATTAGACTTAGAAAACACAAGCCCATGAGAAATGGTACCCTTAAGGTATCTAAGCAACCATTTCAGGGCATTCCAATGAGGCATCCCAGGGTTGGCCATATATCTACTTAAGCAGCTGACTGCATAGGCAATATCAGGCCTGGTGCTTACCATGAGATACATAACCGACCCTATTGCATTGGAATAGGGTACAGACTTCATCCTATCAATTTCAGGGCCAGTCTTAGGAGACTGATCCTTACTTAGAGCAAAATGAGAAGCTAAGGGCACATTGACAGGCAGGGCATAATTCATGTTGAACTTCTTAAGGACTTTATCAAGGTAGGAGGTCTGGTTAAGGGTAAGGGTACACCTACTCCTATCCCTAATGATATTAATCCCTAGGATTCTCTTAGCATCTCCTAAGTCCTTCATAGCAAAGTTTTCACAAAGACACTGTTGAACATTCTTAATGGCATTCACAGAGGGGCTGATAATAAGCATATCATCCACATAGATCAACAAGAAAACAAGTACAGAGTCAGCATCCTTAAAATACAAGCAAGGATCAGAATCGGACCTTTTGAACCTTAGGGAGGACATGCATTGGTCAAACTTAATGTTCCACTGCCTAGGAGACTGTTTAAGGCCATAGAGAGCCTTCTTAAGAAGACAAACATGCCTAGGGTACTTAGGGTCAACAAAACCCTCAGGTTGGGTCATACAAATCTGCTTATCCAATTCTCCATGTAGGAAGGCAGTGGTAACATCCATCTGCTTCATTTCCCAGTCATTATGGGCAACTAAAGCAAGCATCATCCTAATTGTAGTAAATTTTACTACAGGGGCAAAAATTTCAGCATAATCTATCCCTTCCTTTTGAGTGAAACCTTTGGCAACTAACCTAGCCTTAAACCTAATATTATTAGGCTCCTCTTTAACTTTGAAAAGCCATTTGCACTCAACAACAGAACAGTTAGGAGTCCTAGGAACTAGGGTCCAAGTCTTATTCAACTTAAGGGAATCTATTTCACTTTGCATAGCACTAAGCCAGTTTTTAGATTCTCTAGATGCAAGGGCTTCCTGGTAGGTTCTAGGTTCATTTAAATCAAGAGTTTCAAACACAGAGAAAGCAAACAAGGAAGTATCATACAGATGAAAAGCATAATCAGTCATACTATCAGAAATTTTCCTTATGTTTCTCCTAGTTCTGTCTCTAGCTAACTGATAATTTTCAAGGTTCAAATTTTCAGAATAAGTTTCATGAAAATCATTGTTATCAGTAGAGTTATCACCTGCAAATTCATCATGCACATTTTCATTATTGTTGTTAGACTCAGTAGGCTGCTCCACCTCACTGTAGGTAGAGGGGGTGTCAAGCATAGTGTTGGTCAGGTCAGTAGCATCAGGTGATCCAGATTCATTAACCAGAGGGTTAGAGGTAGTCTGAGTAGGCTCCACCTCACTGGGAGTGGTGCCTTCAGGGCTCAGATCAGGTTCAGTCACATTTTTCACTAAGCAGGGGAAATCAAATTCATTGAACACAACATTTCTACTTATTATGATCTTAAAACCAATCTGACTCCTATCCCAGATCCTATACCCTTTTACCCCTTCAGGGTAACCTAAGAAAATACACTTTTTAGATCTAGGTTCCAACTTGTCAGTCTGTTGATGTACATAGGCAGCACACCCAAACACCTTTAAGTTAGACAGGTCAAGGGGTGTCTTAGAGAAGACAAACTCAGGGCATTTACCATCTAAGGGTACAGAAGGAGACCTATTGATCAAGTAGGTGGCTGTATTAACAGCTTCTCCCCAAAACTTCTTGGGGAGACCAGAAGTAGCAAGCATACTTCTGACTTTGTCAAGGAGGGTCCTATTCATTCTCTCAGCCAAACCATTTTGTTGGGGAGTATAGGGCACAGTTTTGTGTCTCCTAATCCCACACTCGGTACACAACCTATCCATGTCCTTATTGCAGAATTCTAATCCATTGTCTGTTCTAAGGGTTTTAACCTTACATCCAGTTTGATTTTCTACCATAATTTTCCATTCTTTAAACTTGACATACACCTCAGATTTATGTTCTAACAAGCAGACCCAAACTTTTCTAGAGAAATCATCAATTATGGACAGAAAATACCTCCTACCCCCATGGGTAGGGACACTGGAAGGACCCCACACATCTGCATGTATGTAGTCGAGAACAGCTTTAGACTTAGGCTCATTAGGATAGCTAGAGGTAGGAAACTGGACCCTATGTTGTTTACCTAAGACACAACCTTCACAGAATGGTATAGGTGACACCAAGTCATTTCCAAAACAGCCTGATTTTTGCAAAACATTTAATCCTTTATTACTCATATGTCCAAGCCTTTGGTGCCAGAGCACAGACTTGTCAGAGAGTACAGTATTAGCATGTTCAGAAAATGGTTTAGCATGAACCACATATAGGCTATTTTCTTTTAAAGCTTTGAACAAAACCAAAGAGTTTTTCAGGATTTTCATGCACCCATTCCCCCATTTTCCCTCAAGACCACACTCTTCAAAAGCAGAAACAGAAAGTAGATTGTGCCTAAGATCAGGGACATGCCTAACATTTTTCAATTTGAAGACAGTTCCATTCTCAAATTTAAGACTTATGTCACCCATACCATGAACCTTGCACTTCTTATTGTCAGCTAAGGACACATGACCAGACTCACAGGTACTATAAGAAGTAAACATATTTCTAAAAGGAGTCATGTGGTAGGTACACCCTGAATCAATTAACCATTCAAATTCAGTTAGGTTGCTTAGGATAGAGTTGGCTTGGTCACAGACCATGAACACTTCATCACTCATTTCTTTATTGGTTACAGAGTTGGCCTGTTCATTTCTTTTAGGTTGGGTACAATCTTTTATAAAATGACCTGGGTTACCACAGTTGTAACAAACTCTTTTCTTGGACTTATACCTTTTCTTACCTGGCTGTCTACTGTTCTTGTCCTGATTTTCTTTTCTAGGGTACCTAGACCTACTCTTGGATCTGCCCCTAACAAAAAAGGCTTCACCAGAGTCCTTAGAGTGATTATTGTGACCCCTAGAGTGTCTTAAGTCAAGCTCTTTGCTTTTTAGGCCATTAATTACAATATCAAGGGTTATATCATCCCTCCCATATTTAATGGCTGACTTAACATCATTATAGGAATCAGGAATGGCATTAAGAAGTACAATAGGGGTATAATCATCAATATGTTTATCCCCAGCTTGTTTTATGTTCTGGATCAGTTTTTGAAAAACATCTAGGTTTTCTTCAATGTCTTTACTTAGGTCAAGTCTGAACCTAAAAAATTTTTCCAATAAAAACAGTTTACCAGGAAGAGAAGTATCAGTGTAAGTGGACTCAAGTTTATCCCAGAGGGCTTTGGCAGACTCAAGGATTCCTACTTTTCTAAGGACAGAGTCAGACAAGTTTAGATATATGGTGGAACAGGCAGTTTCATTCATCTCAGTTTGTTTAGACTTATCCTCAGATTCTAAAAACTGACCAGTGACAGCTCTATACACCTTTTGTTGGATAAGGACACATTTTATCTTTTGTTTCCAAATATCAAAGTCAGATTTACCATTAAAGGGAAGCATACCATACATGTTGGAAGTCATGGTAAACAACAAACCTACACAGTTAATGAGACAACTGTAATGCGGAGACTGAGCCCTAGGGGGTTAGGCTGCGGACTAAGGGACCACGCAGATCCGGGGCCACTGAGGTGGCTGGCAGGGAATCCCCTAGCCCTAACCTCAAGTGCCTTAGCCCACTAGAGTTTTACAGTCACAGTATTACAATGGGTCAGAAACCAATAACACAGGTAAAAAAGTGAACTGGAAACAGATGAGAGTCACAAACAGTAGAGGCCCAAAACAAGTAATAACCACAAAGGTGCTCAGGCAATCACACAGAGAATGGTGGGTCAAGTTCGACACAGATTGACACCACCCATGCACGAGTTCAACAGACCTAGGGTTTCTGCAGATTGGTCTATACCGAATCTGCACATGCAACGGAAAATCTAGGGTTTCTAACCGGAAGATCCAAAACCTAGGGTTTAAGATCTACCCATGCAGCATAGATGCCGGTGGCACTCCGGTAGCCCAAGATAGGGATTTAGAGGTTATACCTGAGCGAGTGTCTAGATCAGACAACCCGACTTACCAATCGCGAGGGGAAGCTGAGGCGTTACCAGGTGTGGGAAGTGCTTCCGGCGAGTCTCCAGCGTTGGTGAGAAGAGGCAGCTTCCAGCTCTGATACCACTGTAGAGTTACTGGACCGGCTCAGACCTCAATCACCATAGCCCCAAGGGCTAGCTCACCATTCACCACCAAGGAGTCAACAAGGGAAACCGAAAGGGCAACAGTCTCAAACACTCAGTTTTGGAGCCCAAAACCCCCCAGACCAGACCCCAGAGAACCCACCGGAGAAGAACCCCCAAATACCAGCTCAGAGTGAAGCCCACAGAAGGGAACCCCAAGGGTCTCACCGGAGGATAGCCGGAGCTAAGCCTACAGTTCAACCGGCACTCTCTCACTCTAGAACTAGGGTAACAGTCTAGGCTTCTCATCGCTAAGAGAGAGGGAAGGGTCGCACAAATAGGAAATTCCAGAAGGAACGGGACAATATAAGAGAAGGGCCACAATGAGTCATGGGCTGGATAAAGACAAGGGGAGACGAATGGGCTTGGTCGGGTAGGCAAAGGAGTTGGGCCAGACTCATTAATTAGGAGACCAACATATTAATGAGGCGAGCCAAGTACAACAGAGGTGGACCAATACCAACTCACAAAAGTCGACTGCAATAGAGAAGAGCTTTGCAAGTTCAAGACACGGTTCACTCATTGCCATCTTATCTTCTTTGTCCGCAAACACAACATGCGCATTTGAAATAATGCCTAAACTGTCATTCACAATGTAGTCTGCAAAATACTTCTGAACTTCCTGCAGAACGATTTCTTTCAAGTGAAAACATACTGATAAACTTAAATGCTGGATGTGTGGCATCAAATGTGATGCATAACAGACGCAAGAGGAAGACGAAGGCATAAATACCGGAAAATTATTACTATAAATTGTAAACTATGCATTGAAAATGCAACTAAGTCTAGCACAAGGAACAATGGTTTTGGGTGACCGATAGTATGTTGTACCTCAATTGTAACATCATGGTCCAATGCCATGCTTGGAGCAGGGGTGTAATCCATCGCTGGTTTCATTTCCTTCGGAATGAGATCTTGGTCCCAACACACAAAGTAAATATCTCCATCCAAGTCGCTTCCAGAACATTCATTTGGATGCGGCCTATCACCGTTTTTTTAAATAACCAGTACAGACCAAAAAATGTATACGAGTAAAGTAACACAATTGGAAAGAATCAACAAAGCCAAGTTATTTTTTATGAGAGAATAATAAGTATACATTCTGATGTATGTCCACTTAAGGCAATACCTTAGTTATTACAGTTTCATAAAAAATAATTGATGCAGATATGTTGTTTTTTGTAGTGAAATAAAATATACACATTAATTTGAAATTTTGAAATGGAACATGCCAGTAGAGCTCAGGTTGGCACCACAGAACATACTGTACGTTTGAGTGAAAAATGCTTGAGAAATGATAATCCATGAATGAAAGCTGACAATTTTTTAACTGAAGTGTGTTATATGGGGCATGAAGCACCACTCATTCCAGTTTAGAGTCATCTCCTCGACTCCGTAACAACAATCTTTGCTCGCATTAAGAATTAATTGCTGTTTGGAAATTCCAATTTGAGAATTAAATATACCAGTATATAATTGAATATGGTGCGTGACACTTCATTAGTTTGTTTGCCTATATTTACTTTTTTATACCATGCAAATGAAGTATATATGTACACTAGATAGCAATCAAGCCACATAATAAACCATGTATATGAACTATACGTTGTCTAAGTTTATTTGGTGTTCCTTTTTTTAAAGCATTCAACCCATTCTCAGAGTTTAGTCAAGTCTTAACAGTAACAATTAAAGCATTTTAAAATTTGAAAATGTTATGAAACAAAGAGTGAAATGACGCTAAAGGTGGGAGTTTGGATTACCTCTGCCCTTTTTGGGGGAAAACGACACAGTCCACCATATGGTGCAAAGCAGGCACGTTAACAGCTCTCAAAACACGAACATCACCAGGATGTAAGCACGGGTTCTTTGCAACGACTACCTTTCCTGTGACAATGTATTTACAATCTCTGGTTTCATTGTAATGTAGAGAATCAACAAGAGACTGTCTCCATCCAGCACCTGAATACTGAACAAATACTTCACCATATTCCAATGTTCTGGTCTCATCTAGACAACCCATCATCGATCTGGCACTGGGTATGAATATACGTGCCTTGGTCCTTATATCTTGCAACTTAAATGCCCTGAATGTTTGTAAAGTCATCGAAAGGAAAGGTTCGGCATCAGGCTTGTAGCCACACATAAGCATCTCTTTAATGATGTTAGTGTTTTCTCCAGGAGCCATTAACTCAAGAGCCTCGGCTGCCTTTGCAGGATTGGTGAGGATTTCATTCAGTTGAGAAACTGCTTCTTTTTGCTTCAACTCAAAGACCGCATCTTTGATACCAAGAGTTGACAAGAGTGTCACCAATTGGCGGTTTAGATAACAAGGTTGATATTTGCTCCATGCCAACACATCAAGTTTTACATTATTTGATTCATATTTCAACATGCTTTTTCTTAAAGACAACTTCTTTGACGAAGAAGGATCAACAGCAACGACTCCCTTAAATCCACCATAGCGGATTTGATAAGCAGACGGGGCTAACTTTTCCAGGCCACATTCTATGGCGACTTTTTCGGCAAAATCTGAAGATATTTTTCCAATCCCGTCAGAGAAGTTATATTCAGTCCCTTGTTTAGTAATCTTTATTATGTCAGGAACAATTTCAATTTCATTCCGGTGAACACTTTCAGCTTCTCTAGAAGAACCAAAGGATTGACCAAGTCTTGCAGCATACTTTGCAACATTTTTTATCTTTTTGAAGTTGCCCATCCATTCTCTTATATCAGTAGCTGTAAGTCCAACTCTTGATGCAAACATCCAAACAGAACTCTCTCTTAACTGACTTGATGAGAACGCGAGAAATTCAAACCTTTTATCACCAATAACAATGCCATTTTTTAGTGTCAAAAGTATCCTGCTATAAATGTCTGTCTTCCCAATTCCCCTTTGAGATAAATCTATGGATTGGATTTTATCACACTCCTCATCAACAAAAGATACACGGAGGAAATTTTCAATGTCATTAATGTAATGGCGCAACACACGGTTCGATTGGTTTACCTCGGGCCCATAAAAATAAACCTTTGTTGGAGTCACTAGGACCCTCCTTACATAAACCAATCCATCATCGAGATTTATAGAAGCGGATTTTGGAGGATGCTTGAAATTACGGTATGCATCAGTCAGCCACATCACAGGATCATAACAGCATTCCTTCATATAGAGCAATTTCTCCAAGGCATTTTCAATGCAATCAATGTTTACCAATCTTGGATCAACTAAGCGGAAGAATCTGTCATTCAGTACGGGACCGGGAAGGCATCCATGTTGCACCAAGCTGCTAATCTTAAACACTAAGTCGAATGGCAATTCACTTCCTCGTGGAGGATGAATGATTGGGACTAGATGCAAATTTCTAGAAAACCGTGAACCGGGCTCTAGAATAAATTGACTTTCAGTTTCATTGTAGAAGACAAAATTATTACGGAAATCTGGTAATTTGACGCCTCTAGGAAGCTCCAGACACAAGCCAGAAGATTCTCCAATCAAACTTTGTGTGAAATCTGTAGTCCTCACTCACTGATCATCTGGAGTTTCCTGAAAGAAGCTATAGATGGTGTCTTCTTCTATTTTCTTGTAGATCCGTGGAGCAGCAACTAACTGAAGCAGACAGACGATGTTTACAAATTAGTAATAGCTGAATGAGTCTCCTACATGTAGCCAAAACTAGATTCCACATATAATAGAAATGTATTTTAACGAAAAATGAAAAAGAGATATTGAAAACAATGTTATCAAAAGAAAGGAGAATAATGCCATATCTATCCGCTGTGAATCTTATATTTTTGAATCGCTGGGCTTTTTACCTTTTGTGAAAAGTTTTAAAAATTAATGTGATAGTTCACTTAATGACCATGAAGAATTAAATGAGAATATAATTATCTTTAATGCACATGCTAGAAAACATTAGCTTTCTTTAAACATGAGTTTATGACATACACTCGATGGAGTCCATCTAGCAAGAAATGTAACCTGGAAACGCCAAAACGGGAAATGGTATTTCTGAAACCCCTCAATGGTTATCATAGACACCTTAATTCCAACATGTTGGGGCAGTGGGATGAAAGATAGGAATATCATTATATATGTGTGCGTGTGTGTGAGTTTACTGAATGTATGCATCTGAATCGCAGAAGCCCTTGTTTGGTTGGATGATAAAATATAATATACTCTTTTGAAACAATAATTCAATCCTAACTCCATTAAACCAAGCAGAAGGTCCCCAAAGACATGAACATGCAATAAAAAATACGACGTAGCACTTGAGAAATAAATTAAGTTCATCTGCAAACCTGTATGACAAGATATTTAATGTTTTGGGCGGGGGATCTATGCAGCACAATCTGCCAAATGTGATCATATAAAAGTTGAAGCTTGTATCGAACAAAGTGATGTGATAGATAGAAGCGTATCTTCTTCAATCCATATCCAAATTCTATTGAAACATCTTCAAATCTACATAACTTGTAAAACCGTTCTACTGATATTTGGCACCCAAAGCATAGAGTTATGTTCTCCATCTTATGGATGTATGATCTAGGTTGCACAATATAGGCATCTAGTTCCCAAGCCTTCAAATAAGACGAGCCATAGTGCAATCCATTTTGACTGGCCAGAGCTATAATTCCTTCTGCACTGCTGGCTTTATCAAATTGGACTTTAGCATATGCTCTTCCTCCCTTTTTAGCCATCTTTACCTCTATGGCATACACAGAACCTACACCTGTATACCTCTCTAAGCATACCTTAGCATCACTTGCAGTTACAAGATGAGGGAACCCAAACACCTGAACTGTTTTTGTCCTGACCATACTGACAAATTTCAACTAGTGACTAGTACTAATCTCCACACCAGCAGCTTCTTTCTTCCAAACAAAAAATGTGGCAAGGGTAAGAAGTAAGAACATAGGTTTAAAACATGAACGAACATATCATGATAGGATAAAGAACATATATCAAATAATATACCAGTAGGATTCATAACCCATACACATGGAATTCATGATCGAGAACATCCATAGACAAAAGGCACGATCAGAACAGAAAAAAGTATAAACCAAACTGCTCAAAAAGCAACCAAAATGAGTTAGAATTTACAAGCAGAAAGAAGCTGAGCACTCTTCCTGAGAAGATTATGATACATCATAAAGATGATGATACCTTACATGTACGGTTTTCATCCAAACAACTCTGTGGTGAGGCGGTCAAATTCATGTACGGCCTTTTCCCAAACTAAATTAGCTTTTCAACTTCCATGCACTTCATCACCATATCACAATAACGTCGGTTAGGGAACTGGAGCCAATAATTACTGTGGTTAAATTCTGGGCTACGGCAACCGACTTTTTGCATTATTCACATATTTTACTTTGGCTATGTTTTATTTATTATTATATTATAAATTAAATTTTTTAAAAATATTGTTAAATTTTTCTCATTCTAAATTTTCCAAAAACCATTTTTTAAAATTTTATAATAATAAGGAATGAAAGATATTAACGGTCAAAATTGTGCGGTGACAAACGTGAAAAGTGGACTGTTGCAATTAAAAAAGAACATTAAAAAAGAACGGAGGAAGTATTTATTATTATTTTTTTACTCCGGGGGGTCTGGGGGAGGGGTGTGGGGGAGCCTGAAGTAATCAGGGCTGAAACTCACTTCATTGAGTTTCCAACCCTTGTGTGCCTAGCGGGATTCGAACTCGAGACCTCCCACTAGGAACGGAGGAAGTATTATTTATCAACTTACTCCATTCTTTTTAGTGGCAATGGTCCAACTTTCAAGTTGGTCAGTGCATAAGTTTGTTCACTAATACTCTCTCCATCAAAAAAATTAAGGAGACAAATATGACTCCACTATATAGTCATATATGCATATGTGTTTTTTTATAACCGTTTATTTCTAAAGGTGGTTTATAATGGAGGACCCCACTATATATAATGGAGACAAATTTTATTAAATTTGATCGTTAATTTGACAAAAATCGTATTATTTTATAATACCAATATAATTTTGAATGATTCATTTTAATATATATTATTGAAATGTTAGTTTGTTATATGTTTTATAAGTATATATTCTACATGTCAATGGTCAAACGTTAATATTGGAGACCGTTAAATGTTGACTCTAAACTTAATTAAGGGGCGGAGGGAGTATGTTGCATTCCATATTTGTAAAAATTAAAAAATTCGTATTTTAAAAATTTTAAATGAGAGAAAGTTAATAACTTGGTGCTCAATGAACATGTTTTGATACTCAACTAGCAAAACTTATAACGATTTTGATTTTCATATTAATTAATATTTCAAAATTATAAAATTAAATTAGATTCGCATACTAGAATTTATTGGAGTAGATTATAGATATAATTTTAAAAAATTACTACACAAAAAAATAAGATAAAGAAGGTATATTAGAAGATATGAAATAGAGATCACGATGTTAAATATTAGACTTTTAGTACTCAATACAATAGGGTTGATTCTCCATAAAAGTGTATTGATGCTCAATTAACAGAAGTCGTGATATCCACCTGTATTTATAAAAAATGTCATCGGATGTATGGGGTGCACCGTACAACCGGTTGTACGATATAAAAACTCATGACTAGAGGTGGTGAAAGTTATATGTCATAAATACTGGTGATTTTTGTTAGATTCATGCAATAAGTTTTATTTTCTTAAAGATGAATTTTGATAACAGCTTAGTGTATTAAGGTTGAGCTAGAGACACCAAATTCAACAGAAAAATTTCATACAAAATGAAGTTTATTACCTCGGATAACTGTCTGCCAACAGATAACCTGAATACACAACTAAAAATTTAAAGAAACCTCGGAAGATAAAGGGCGCCACAGTTTAAGAACTAGATCTCAGTCCAAAAAAATTATCTCGAATTGAGCTAGAGATTTTTTTAATAGAGCAATTTAATATGCTGGCCATATATATGAACTTTGATCACATCGTATAAATGTGATACTTTGATCACATTCCAACGCACGTCGCGAGCGTTTTAAATGAAGATTTTAATTACTAGTAATTTCACAAAAACATGAATCAACTTATTTTAACACTTCGGAAATATTCAACACAAGTCGTCCTTAGTTACAATAGTCCTTCCCAACAAAGATGTTTTTGTGTCAAAGCAACCTTATCTCATTCAAATGAAGCTTTCACACCAGCTTTTCCCAAAAGAAAAACGAAAATCAAGCTGGTCCTTATTTCACCTACATGGAGTACGTCATTGAGTGATTATGTTTGAATTTTAATAAGATATATAGTAAGGCCATTTGGAGTGGTAAGGTATTAGGAGTCTAAAATGTCAAAAATGGAAATTTTAGACTCCTAAATGCTTACATTGGAGACCAATTTGGGGTCTAAAATGGAAAATTGGATAGAAGGTCTCATATATAAAAGGTTGGGTTGACAGCCAAAAAGTATGGAAAAAAAGGAAAATGCTGCCTGAAACAAATAGTGGACAACAAAAAAGGGGGCATACGGAAGAATAATGGGACCACATAAAAAATATTTTCTTTTTTAAAAGTGTGATAACTTATTTATTTGTGCTTCAATTTTTACAAAACATATATCAAATTTTTTATTTTTTTATGATCTTTCATATGATACCAATATCACATAAATAAAATTAAATGTATAAATGATGTTCAAACTGCTAGAGTATTTTAGGCTGAAAAAATACACGAAACATAAATTTATTAAACCATGGTGTCTCCACAAATAGACAAACAATAGTTGAACCCAATTTTAAATCCAATTTATATTTTAATAGCACAAAAAAGTATAAAAGAAATTAAAGATTTTTTTTAACATCAGAATGTGCATTTTTTACACATGTGAAAAGGGAATCCAATGTGTTATGGATAGACACACAAGTTGAAAAGAGAATCCAATGTTCTAATAAGTTTGAACTCAGTTCATCGAAAAACGTAAAAAAAACATTAATGAAATTTATTTTTTTACATCGGAATGTGTCTTTTTTTATTTTATAATTATTCAAAGAAAAAATTAAAGGGAAAACATTACTTATAATAATTTAATTAATGTTTTACTAAGTTGAGATGTAAAAAAATGTGCAGTGTATTTTATTGACGGTGCTGGAATGCAGAGAAATAGGAGTCAAAACACTGTTTTCATATCGACGGAGTCCATTTTTTACTTTTAGACTCTCACACCACTCCAAATGGTCTAAGTATCTACACACCTGATTTCATAGTTAATATGAGGAATAATATTTCAAATACCCAAACTTTCATGGGTACGACGGTGTGAGGTCAACACCTCAAACATGTATATATAATATAAATATCTCGAACTTTATATAAAAAGTTATGTTGGTTTTAAGTAAATAATTTAAGTATATTTATCGTTTGTGAGAGTGCAGTTAACATTCGTAACCTCTATTTGTGAAATAACTAATATTGTCTTGGCCAATATTCGTAAAAACTATAAAGTTTAAAAAGTCATATTTCAAGTCTTTAATCTGGGACAAATTTTATATTGTTTTAATACATCATTGAATAAAATAAAAAAAATAAAGTGTGCGAGTAATATAAAAGTCAATTAAATATGTCAATAATGAAAGTCACGTAATGACAAATAGCAACTTAAAAGTGTTGCAATATAGATCAGGGTAGTATTGTAAATCTAACATTGGAAGTTTAAAATGTTAATTGTGTACTCACGAATGCTAAATATTTTAAATTGTGTATTTAACGACATAAATTTACATTTGTGAAAGAAAAAATATATGATCATGATGCTAACTTGCTAAGATAACTTTTTTTTTAAAACTCGGGGTATATATATTACATATATACAAGTTTTGAGTATTTGCCTTAATATAAATGTAGTGAATTTATGTAAAATGTGTATGTACTAAATGATGTGTGTGTGGCATTGATATTGTGTATGTTATTGATATTGTTAAAAGGGAAAAGTAATTATAGTACCCCAAACTTTGAATGAGTGTGAGATGAACACCCCAAACTTGCATATGTAATTTAAAGACCCCAAACTTTATACAAAAAGTTATTTTAGCACCATCATCAAATATTATTTATTTCAAAAATATAAATTTATGGTGTTAACTGCATAATTTAAAATATTTTAGAAATCATCAAGACAGAATTAACATTCTAAACTTCTATTGCAAAAGAAATAATATTACCCCGATTTATATAATTGCACCACTTTTAATTTGCTATACTAAATTATGCAATTAACCCCATAAACTCACATTTTTGAAAGAAATAATACTTGACGATGGTGCTAAAATAACTTTTTAATTATATAAACTTTGGGGTATTTAAATTACATATGCAAGTTTGTGGTGTTTACCTCACACCCCTTCAAAGTTTGGCGTATTTTTATTATTTTTCTCTTGTCAAAATGGTTATGTATCTATGTTGTTGAGTTGATATATTTTATAATGTTGACACACACACACATACATAATACTATCATATATATATGTACACACATAATATATATACATAATATATATATATATATACACACACACACACACATACACACATATATATTATCATCAAAACCAACAATTCTATTAATCAAGTAAATCGTTTGCCAGTTGGCTTACAATCGAGAATATTTTTTAAATAGTAGGTGATAGAGTATATGGGCCTGGACCCCATGACCCACATACTCAAGACAATGACGACCAGAAGAACACCCACATGGCCCCTTCGGCCAGTGGGCCCGCATCGGCCAGAAATCAAACCGGCCCAGGAAGCGCGCTTGGACTCCCGGGGCCGCATCGGCCCATGGACCGCATCGGCCAGGGGACCGCATCGGCCAAAAGGCACCGCATCGGCCAGACTTCGGCCGGGCAAAATGCATCTCTCTACTATATTTACTAAGTGTTGTACATAGCCCATTAGTGGCCCTATTTCGCCCAATAAAGGCATGATTATTGTAATGGGCCTCCTAAGCCCATGGCTAGGAGCCCAAATCCACATTTTTTCCTATAAATAGACCCCTTGGGGCTAGTTATAGGGGGTTGAGAAATATAATTACTCACTTTCTCTCTCTAGCTCTCACTTCTCTCTAGAATTAATACTCTATCATTTGGTGCTTTCATTGAGAGTCAGAACAGATCAAGTGAGTACCCCTCGTCGCTACTAGACGCAACAGAATGACAAGAACCAGGTCAAAGAACACCGGAAGGAATGCCCCTCTGAACCAGGAAGGGCAGGGAAACGTTGCTGACAACGTCCCCAATGACCTCATCATTCAGGATGAAAACGCTCAGGAGGTCGAGCTCGCAGCGGCCGACCTTCGCACCCAGCTCAACAAGACTGCCCCAGACGCCCGCATCGGGCTCGAGGACAAGCGCAATGCTGATCGCGCTTCGGGCCAGCAGGCTTCTCACCCTGCTGCCCCCCAGATCAACCCGGCCGCACTATCGGCCATCGTCGCAAGTATTCTCCAGGACCCCAACGTCGTCAGCACCCTCGTCGCAAAGACAGGGGAGAACAACACTCCCGTGACTGGGGAAGTCGCGACGGTGCCACCACCCCCGCCTCGGCCACAAGGCGTCACCTTCTTCGGCAACAACGAAGATGTCCTCGCCGTGGACACCCATTCCCATACTGCCTCGCCTACCCGGGATACACCGGCCCAACCTCGCGGTAAAATCTCAGCATTCAACAGGCTGGGTGACATCGCGAGTCGCCGAGTACCTACGGGAAGGGTGGCGGATCGGTTGGGTGCCCGCGAGCCGGGATCGCCGAAGGAAAGCTTCGGGTCCGTGTCCCGGACAACGGACCGGCCAGACAAAGGAAAAGGAAAGCTGGTTGATGAC